CCCCCCTGGGTGGCCTGGACACTTGAAAACATACGGTTCCAGCGCAGGACCACCATGTTAGATACCCCTCCTGGGTGGCCTGAACATGTAAAAGCACGTGGTTCCAGCTCGGGGCCACCATGTTAGATATACCCTTGGGTGGGCTGGACACGTGAAAACACGTGATTCCAGCTCGGGACCACCATGTTAGATACCCCTCTGATGGCCTGCACACGTAACAACTCACGGTTCCAACCCACCCAGGGGGGATACCCAACATGCGGTCGTCTGAGGCGCAGAACCTTGGGCCCACGCCCTTTCCGGGAAAAATCACCCTGATCGAAGTGCGGTCTTTCGCCAGGGACCAGAAACTCCCCGTATGGGCATGGGCGGGAAATCGCGAAGCCGATCGACTCGCGGGGGACGGGGCCAGACTGCATCCCAGTAATCCGAGGGCCCGTGCGCACGCAGTACATTACCTTATCTGAGCAGGCTAATTCGGCAGATTGGGATTTTCCAGGCTTCGATTTCGTCTGCTCTCTCGGAAATGGGGTTTTCAGGACGTTTCCGGAATCAAGGCCCCGCCTCGGAAGAAAACGGGACGGCTGGAATGAATTGTTGATGCTAGCGGGCATTATGTCTTTCGAGCTGGCAAGAGGAATTCGGTTTTACTGCTCCTTGTGTGCTGAAAGAGCCCGGTTAAGCCTCCTGCAGCAGGCTCTTCCCGAAGATTGCAAGGAAAGCGGATATGTCGCAACGCTTGTGGCTAGGGATGGGGGGGATCGTGTGGTGTTCCGAGTGTGGCGCTTTCGGCACTGTTCGATCGCGCAACCTCTCGACCACATGCCCAGGCGGCCCACGCAATCGAGGAGCCGTTCAATGTCTGGCCGAGCTAAAGGATGGCACAAAGCCCACCGACGGCAAGAGGTTCGGTCGAAGCTGGAGGGTGCCAGCAGAGCAACTACCCAGGTAGCTGCCCCCAACCCGTTTCTGCTCCCTCTTCCTCCATCTGTTCGTCGTGTGGCCCCTGGCAGTTGAACAGCAGCGGTCAAGGAACCAAGGAGGAGGAGGAGGCGGAGGAGGCGGAGGAGGAGGAGGAGGAGGAGGCGGAGGAGGCGGAGGAGGAGGAGGAGGAGGAGGAAGAGGAGGAGGAGGAGGAGAGAAGGAGGAGGAGGAGGAAGGAGGGATTGAGTGACGGAGCGACAGAGGAAAAGAAGCAGGAGGAGGGAGGAGGGAAAGGGGAGAAGTAAGAGGGAGGGGGAGGAGGTTACCGGAGGAGGAGGAGGAGGAGGAGGAGGAGGAGGAGGAGAGGAGGAGGAGGAGGAGGAGGAGGAGGAGGAGGAGGAGGAGGAGGAGGAGGAGAGAGGAGGGAGGAGGGAGGAGGGAGGGGAGGAAGGAAGAGGGGGAGGGCGGAGGGAAAGAAAGTTGGAGGAGGAGGGCGAAAGGACACAGGACGGAGGTTGGAGGGGAGGAGGAGGAGGAGGAGGAGGAGGAGGAGGAAAAGGAAGGTGAGGAGGAGGAGGAGGAGGAGGAGGAGGAAGGAGGGCGGAGGGGGGAGGAGGAGGAGGAGGGCAGAGGAGAAGGAGGAGGAGGAGGAGGGGGGAGGGGGAGGAAGGAGGAGGAGGAGGAGGAAGAGGGACGAGGAGGAAGGAGAGGAGGAGGAGGAGGAGGAGGAGGAGGAGGAGGAGGAGGAGAAGGAGGGAGGAGGAGGAAGAGGAGGAAGAGGAGGTTGGGGAAGAGGAGGAGGAGGAGGAGGAGGAGGAGGAGGAGGAAGAGGAGGAGGAGGAGGAGGAGGACGACGAGGACGAGGAGGAGGAGGAGGAGGGCGGAGGAAGGAGGATGAGGGCAGAGGAGAAGGAGGAGGAGGAGGAGGAGGAAGAGGGGGAGGAGGAGGAGGAGAAGGAGAAGGAGGATTAGGAGGAGGA